ATATTGCTCTGCTATGATTACTGCATGGGCAAACATATTTTAAACTGAGTTGGTGTGACTTCTAGATAGAAAATTGTAAAAGATAGAATAAGTGTGTGCGAAGTGGGATTTTAATTCATCAAAATATTTTGGTTTCATACAGTTATCATCCACGGTGCTTTTTGAAGCAGAGGAGGGATGTTTTCATTGCTTTTTTTGTCAGAAACTCGGGCCTTTTAAATGCAGGCATTTTAGTACGTGACGCTTGTAGGTTTTTTAAAAGTAAAAAAAGCAAAAAATATGGTATTTTTTGTCTCCTGTTCATATTTGAAAACTGTCAAGTCAAAAACGTTGATATGAACTAGTGGTTAAAGACATTTAAATCTTTTTAAATTCTTACAATATTCTTTTCAAGCAGAGTCATACAATTGTGGATTTATTTAATGAAAAACTCAAATAATCGGGGGGTTTTGTGTGTGATTATATGCACAGATAGAGTTTGTGCAGACCAACACTGTCTTCACATAGATTTGTTGAAGAATAAACAGGGACGCACAGGCAGATTAGATTTAAACTCTACAGTTTTATTTTTCATGTGCTAATAACTCAGCTAAGTGATGATAATTACTCTATTTATAATCAAATGTCTTTACAGTTTTTTTTTTGTTTTTGTTTTTTGTATATGATAATTTTATCAGTTCTGTGTTCTGTTTGCTGATTGCAACCAGCTTCTGTCGCCCTCAAGTGGCCAACATTGCCAATTTTTTTTATTTTTTTATTTATTTTTTTTTTACAGTGTAAGTAAAATCATAATAACAGTAATTCAGATTCATGCATTTCCTCTTTTTGGTTTTTATCTTCTTTAGGTCCTACTTTGAATATCTCCCCCTCTGTTTGACAAGCATGTTGTTAATCTCTCATCCTGACAATATTTGTGTTATTTATCATGTTTCCTTTTAAACACTGTTAGCTGACCCCGGTCAGGGCAGTCAGTAAAAAGCCAGGGATGGTGCCCTGTCGCTTTACGGCCTGTTAAAATTACACTTTGATGTTGCAGCAGTGATATCTGTCCCAGCCGCTTTGGCCGACCGGCTTATAAGGACTTGTTCATTGACATTCACACAAACTCACCTCATTAGATTGTGGTTTAGTAAACATAAAACTGTTGCTTTTAGAAACAGACAGGGTTAGCCTTTACACCGTTAGGGTAAATTTTCTATAACAGGTATTTTATCATCACTTTTAAATCCTCTCTTTGGGCAAGTAACTACAGGGACACGGATTGTCTTTAACTTTCAGCTGAACACTGAAAACAGAACTTCATGCTTCTACAGAGGAAGACCATTTGCAAAATTTTTTGTCAGGTTAAAATTGAAAATTAGATGATCCTCTGCTGATGCCTCTGCCTCATGGTGCTGGGTTACCTGCATTTATTGTTTCATGTTTAGAAATCAAAAGCAAAGCATACAGACTCCTCAAGTCATTGACGGAGGTTGCATCTTGACCCTGTCTATGCATACCGCGTTCCTTCACAAGAGGTTGGCTTTGATATGTGCCTCACCTGTTAAAGATTTGGTTGGATTAAAAGCAGGAGACTGTTACAATATCATATTCATGCCAAAAAACTTAAGCGATGCTATTTAAGCAAAATCCTTTGATCAAAACAGGGTCTCGTTATTTCTGACAGGCTAGAACCTGTGCTTTATGGGAACCACCAGTCCCAATAAAGAAAGTATGACGTAACAGCAGTGTGACATTTGGCTCCTTTCAAGCACAACAGGAAGAGATGTCAGGTGCAACATGACGGTATCACAAACTGTGTTGTTCATGTTTCTCATAGAAGCTTGAGTTTGGATTTTAGCCTCCTTCTGAAAGGCTAAAATCAAGAGCAATTCCTGTTAAATCCAGAGGTCTGTATGCCCAGCTATATCTCTTCAGAAAAAGCACTTCCAGATGATATATAACGTGTGCCTAGAATGAGGGACGGTGATCATTTAGGGTTGGTGCACCTAAACCTCAAATTTAGAAAAACAAATAGTTGTTTCATTGGAGCAGTAATTTGGACACACATCTGATTCTATGATGCAAAAAGTAGAACAACATCCACACTTTATATAGCCCCAACCTCATTCTCTGCTAGTGGTGCTTAATGTGCTGACGGACACAGTCCATACCTGAAAAGGAAGAATATATGGAGTCAGCATTGTACCAAAAAATGTGTTGTTATACATCAGCACCATGTCATTATTGGTTAATTTAAATTAAATAAGACATAAATAATTATTTCATAAATTAGCACCTGCATTTATAGTTGAAGCCCTTTGTGGAATAAAGAATAGGATTAAACTGGTCTACCCAGATCAAGTTTTTAAAAGTTTTATAAACTTATGAAATAGAATATCGTGCTATGCAATAGAAAAATATTATATGAGTAATGTAAAATCCAAATACGATGTGAGCAAACAGTTTTTCTTATAATAGGTTTGCTACTATTTTTCAGTATAAAGTGAGGCTGAAAACAGAAGTACAAAATTATTATTCAGGTTTTTGTGTTTTGACATGTGAAAATTTTAACAAATTCAAAGCAACTGCAGATCGTTTCTCTCAAACACCTTCTCAGTTAGTAAGGTGTTTTATTTTTTATTTTTTTTGCTGAAATCAGGCTTGCTGCTAGAGGAATGACACCCTGGGTGAGCCTCCCCTTTAGATGGCTGTTCTCTCTTAGAACCACAACAGCTTTACACCATTGTGTTTCTCTATCAATACCATTTTCTTTTACCTATTGGTGAATTATTTTATTCTAAATGCTTTTTACAGCAGCCATCCCAGGTTGTGTAAATATAGTTGCAGTTGGACAAGGTTAAATGTAACATTCAGACACTCAGGTTAAAAGAAATACACATCTCATTGTTTGTTTGGTTTCCTTAAATACTCTGTAAAACAACTGCAGTTCAGTTCCAATGCGGCCCTCAGCAATTGCAAATAGTGTCCACATAAAATAAACTACTGCAGTTGCAATGTGTGCAGTAAAAAAATAAAATAAAATAAAAACAAAAGATTTTTTCCTTTTTCAGTTGGAGAAATGAAAGTTAACAAGTTTCTAGTTTGATGAGCAAGAGGAGTTATATAATCAGATCAGTGATACAAGATTGAACCAATCCATGTAAAGCCCTTGAGGACCAGAATAAACCCCAACATTTCAGAATGAATTGTAATGAAGAATAAATCTTAAAGGTAGGGTAGCCAGTGTTAAATATGATGCATTTCTATGATTATCTCTCTTTGATTCATCAGAAAACTGCAGCTGAATTCAGAATTCAACTTCTTTAGAAAGAGCTGCCATCTTAACGTTACAGTCATTTTTATGTGTGAAGACAAACCGTGAAATATTGTCATAAATTAAGCCACACAGCACAGTTATCCTACTTCCATGGTGTTTGTAAGATAAAAAAAAACTAGTTTTAGACCTACTAGACTGGTTTAATGGCAGGGATGGTACTGCCTGATGCAATAATTAAGTTTATTTCATTTCCAAAAATTAGCTGCAGTTATATTTGCTCCACTACCTATAAGTCAGGAAGGTAATTACGGAGGACTATTTAGGGGCATTTTAATGAAGCTGCTGAATGACATCAGTGAAGAGATTACAATAAAGCTTGATCTGGCCTAATGAAAAAGCAGGTAACAACAGATATAGGCCCCAGAGCAGCACCTTGAGGTACTCCACGATACTCTGCATACTCTAAATTAAGATTTAAAATTAGTTTCTTTCCACTGAAACTTAAAAGAATACTATTTTTTTTTAAACATAAATTTTCAGTTTATATATCAATTTAAATGGCTTCTCAGAAATGATTATGCACTTCTCAATAATTAGTTGACATTAGTTTACTGACATTGCAACAATCCAATCCTTTTTATTCATTCTGATCACTTTTTGTATGTTTCGACTGGTGTTTTGGTGATTTGTCCTTTTTGGTCACTTTGTTTAAAATAGAGGAGAAGTCACAGGCGGCAGTTGAGTGAGATATTGTCAGTACTTTAGAAGCTTGTGTACATCTGATAAATTCTCAGTTGAGCAGATAAGTGTTATGTCTCAGCAGTCCTAGAAAATAACTTTGTTAAATACTGAAACTTGTGAGACACCTCTAGCTGAGTAGACTGTTCCCATGTCCATTGCTTTTCCTAGCTGATGCCTTAGCAGTGTTTTTATTTTGCCTGGATCAGACTATATTTAAAAATGAGTACAGAAATTAATAGGGAAACCTGTCGAAATTTAGGATGAGAAATCTGTCAGATTTTTTACAGTTAAACTGTAGCCATGAAGAGATCAAGTATGAGTACAGCTGACGGAGAAAAAAATATTCCTTTTTTTCCTTCTTGAATCTCTGGAAACAAGCTGACAGCAATTAATTTGTTTTAATCCTGTGGCAGATTTGACTTGTCAGCTACATTAAATTCTCCAAAACATTTGGCACAAATAGCAACTAAATATGGAGAAACAAAGAAGAGGTGTTTATGAGTCTGCCTGAAGTGGACAAATCCAGCGGCTTAGAAGTCTTTAATCGTGTCAGGAATTCTGCAACTTTAAGTTCCATAGAAAATAGAACGGCCCTACGGTGTAAGCATCCAGTTTTCTGAGCGCATACATTTCACAACAACATTTTTTATCACACAGAGTGAGAAATTTCTTTGTTCCACCCTACTAAACCTCATAAATCAAAATATTGATCACACAAAGAAATCCTCAGTTCTAGAGGCCAGATAATGGAAGTTTAGACAAAAGGGCCTCTTGTTTTCTTCTGCTTGATGCTTAGATGGCATTAATAGGATGATACATGTTTATTCCTAGGAGGAAAATCTTCTTTGATGGCCTCAGATCAAAAAATATCATACTAAGATTTTAATGGGGAGATTTTTCTTGGATTAAGTAGTGACAAATTCCCAAAGAGCTTTTTTGCACTATTTATTGGCCATAACAAGCCACTTTTAAGAGTTTCACACACTTCCTGTCTCTGCAGGTAAGGACAGTTCTGGTCTGACAGACTCTGATTTGGCCCCGGACTCAGATCCTCCTGGAATGGACTCCAGATATCTGGCGGTAAAGGATCAGGGTGTCAAGTCGGCCCCTGAAAGATCGTCTAGCAACAACTTGGCAAGTCCTCTGGAAAAATCTGACAGTGGTGAAAGCAACAAGGGCAAGAAACGACGTAATCGCACCACGTTTACCAGCTACCAGCTGGAGGAGCTGGAAAAGGTTTTCCAAAAGACGCATTATCCCGATGTTTACGCCCGGGAGCAGCTTGCTTTGAGGACCGACCTGACCGAAGCCAGAGTCCAGGTAAGACTAGGCAGCCAACACAGCTAAGTGGACAAAACCTCCTGAATCCTTCAGCATCTGCAAAGATAAAGTCACTCACAGAACACCATGAGAGATTTATCTGGTAATGTGGGAGTGGAGAAAAAGAGTGTGGGGGAGTGGGAGCTTACAGAGGCCAGGGGCCCAGAGGGGCTGAGGTTTGAGCTGCCTGGGCCTCATATGTGCACTTTAAAGAGAGAGCAGACTTTCATCAACACATGGCTCTGCTGGGTTTTTTTCTTAGGATCGTCTTGGTGGCTTTATCCTTTACATTATCAATGTTTTGATTATTTTTTTCTTGAATCATGAGTTTCTCTCTGGTCTGGGACCTACAGCGTCCCTCTGACCTTTTATGCACAATCAGCTTAGAGACTGGTTACAACTGTTGCAATGCATTCCAGCATCAGAGAGCAGTGACAGACCTCCATCAGATCTACACCGTGCCCTTGTGAGGTACATGTGGATGAGGACAAAAGCCCCTGGATTTTCCTTGTTTTTCTTTCATTAAGGTCCCGTTCAGACAAGAATGTGTCCCTGCTGTGGTCTCTGGGAGGTGTGAAACCTTTCCCATGGTTTTCTATTGGTTAGGCATGACTCTTATAAGAATACTTAGGCTTGCTTTAGCCAGAAGTCACATTTTTACATTTTTGGTTCTGTTCTTTTGATGAACGTCAACTCAGACAGCATAGGAGACTGACTAAAACACAATCCTCCACATGATGACCTGAGGCAGTGAGTGGAAAAAACAGGAAATCAGTGGAGGCCTCCAGGGCTGTAACTCAACCCAGAGTCTGAAGGCAACCGGTCTCCAGTTCGTGCTATCACTGACCCGCCAGATGCAGATGGATGAAGCTTTACAGCCATCGGCTCGTCTAGCAGTCCTCTTAAATACTCAGGTTAAACAGATAAAAGACACCAAACGCCTTGTCAGTAAGAGGAAGGTTTTTTGTGCACCACTCTGGAAATTCACACACAGCAGGATAAACCACTGCTCATCAGGTCTTCATCTGGAGTAAAATAAATAGAAAGAAAACAGAACTGCTGGTAAAGAGGATACTTCAAAACATACAGATTTTGTACATGCAAACCAAATTACAGGGGGCTTTCTTTTAAACAACGCCGGGGCCTGGAGTTGTTTGCTTTTTCAGTCTCAGGTTTTCAAAGGAAGTGGGCGAGTTTAGATCAGAATCTCATACACTACATGTGAAGGTCAGGGGTCATGGGTCAAAGGTTTCCATAGCATCACATCTCTTAGAGTTACTGCTCTGATAAACCAGAAAACTGAGATGGAATCTGATGTGGAGTTCATTGGGAAAACGCAGGTGTGTGCATAAGTATACAGGTAAAGTACGCTGATCCTACTGACAGAAAGACAGAGACGGGACACTCAGAGCATTAAAGATTTAAGAAATGTCTGCATTCTTATACTTTATCATGTGAAGTTGTCTTCATTTTAAATTCAAGTTGTTTTCAGATCAAACATTTTAATCTTGCAGTATCAAGCTCCCTTTGTCTGTCTGACAGTAGATCAGACTAATAAATGTATGTGTTTAAGCACACTTAGGATTCCCACTATCAAAATGATTTGCTAAATGCCAGAATAAGTGCAGGATTATATTTTAACATTACCTTGAATCTTTACGAGAAAGAGAAGACCATGTTTTTTTGAAAGTTTATAAGTTTATGATAGATAGGGCTGCATTTAAGGATAAAAAAAATAATAATAATCTGTCGAATATTTTTTCGATTAATCGTTTAATGATCGGATAGGCAACGGTTCCTTAAAGAAGACTTTTTGAGAAATAAAACCAGTTGAATCTAAAAATGTCAGTTTTTTTGTTTCCGTTCTGGATATTAACAGACGAAAAAGATTTTGATCTTAAATGCAAAATATTTATTTTTTATTTTTGGTGTAATCGCTACTCTAAGTGGGTCTCTCTGACAGCTACAGGCATGTTTGAGAGTATCTTAACTGCAGTTAACTATTAATCAATTACTAAATTAGTTGACATTTATTTCAATAATCTTTTATCAGGTTTCATCCAATTCATTGTTTCAGCCCTTATGGTTATTAAAAAAAACAACTTATAGTTAAATGGAGACACTTCTCTACAAGGACTTTAAGCCAACCCATCAAAAATGAACAAAATAAAAGAAATCAGGCTAAAAAACAGGAAGAGGTTTGTGGAGCCATAAAATGTGTTGTTCATCCCATGGATTGAAGATGCTACCTTTCTCTATTTACACAGCTATATACAAGCGTTAAAACTTTAGAAATGTTGAGCCTTCATTTCATCCACATGGAGACAGGTTCAGTATCTCAGAGATAAATATGTGAAATGTTCAATTTCAAACTGATGCTGAAGCAGTTAGGATATTTATCCACAGTCAAATAAGTCCTGAAGGAAACCCAGCAGGAGGAAATCTGTAACTTTAACCAGAGGCAGGTAGACTACCCAAATCTTTACTTAAGTAAGAATATACACTACTTTACTCATTCCCCCCCCCAAGTAGAAGTAGGAAGTTATCATCCAAGAAATTACTCAAGTAAGCATAAAATGGTACTTGGTAAAATGGCTAGTCTACTGAGTAATTGTTGGCTAAAAATATCTGCTTTCATGTTTAAACTTTTGTAATCAGACAGAAAGTTTTTCACAAATTATTATTTATTTAAGTATGAAATACAATTTAAACAAATTTTGGCAAAAGAAACACTTTTCCAATTCAAATTCTTCAACATAAGCTTTAAAAAAACACTTTAATTTCACTTTTGGGATCACTGTTATTTTTTTATTGAATAAATTACCATTCTGAGAGTGATACATGTAATGAATTTATACTAGGAAGGATAAAGACATTTCAATGACAATATGTACAGTTTTCTGCATATTCCCCTGCTCCGAAAGTTACTCACAGTTGGTAGAGTAACCATATAATTTACTCAGGTAATAGAAAAAAGTAATACAACCCCTCCTTTAAGGTACATTTCGTTCTGAAACTTACTCAAGCAAATGTAACTTGTTACTATCCAACTGTTTGCACATTTAATCTGCAATACAAGCTATACTTTTGGAGACATCCTGTGGACAGATCAAACTAAAACTCAAAGGGTAATGACAGATGCTCCACTTGAAAACAAAGGAGGGAACTTTTAAGCCTGAGGAGCCAAAAACAAGTGCACTTTCTAAAACTGACTAAGCAATTAGGTAGAAACGTGGTATTTAAACGCTGATGCAACTTCCAAGATCAGAGAAGTGAAGGCCTGGATTCATACCTGCTTTCCGAACTGGACAATGATCCTGTTCACACCTCCAGATTAGTTACAAAGCCACTTTAAAACAACACAGCTGTTATTCAAGAGTGGCCATCACAAGGTTATTACGGGCAGAGACAAATAGATGGGATATAAACTGAGCTGCACCAGTTCTGTTGAAAGGGATTGAGAAAACCTATAATATTTATTTTTTAACCCAAAATAACTGCTTACAAATCAGTCCTACAAAACCAATGGAAACATTTCAGTTTGCAAGAGAAAGAACAAATAAAAAAACAACTAACAAAACAAGAAAGTCTCCATCTGTCATTCAGCTTTTAGAAGTAACAGATTTCCAGCATGAAAAAGGAATCAAACAATGGAAGAAACAAAATGATTTATCACTAGGAAAGGTAAATGTACTTTACCTTTGCCATTGTGTTCTGAGATCAAGCTGCACAAATAAATACTTTACCTCAGATTTATAGCTGATGGGAAAGAAAAGTTGTGCAATTTAATACGGCGATAAAAATTTATTAGAGTCATGAAAGCAGCACAGAAAGGTTTGCTGTATTTAAGAATTTTCAGAGTTTTATATGAGAACAGATAACGGTTTCAAGTTATACCTTTTTTTAACATGGTCCCCTGGTTTTATATATTCCCTGTACTTACTTCACAGGGAATATATACCCCTCCATGCAGAGATATTTAGAGTAAAATAAGAGTAAAACTTTCCTATGATGGCTGTAAACATTGGTCAGCGCATCACTGTAATATTATTAGAGTTTTATGGGAGTCCAAGCTTAGCAGCCCCTTTTCTTTTTCCTCCTTCTTTGTTTTGAAGGTGAAATGAGTGACAGCGGAGGCCGGTTATCAATCCTCTGAGCCTCGCTCTCACTTCAAAGTGCTTTCAGCCCCTGTACAGCCCTCCTGCTGAGGCTAGTTTGGTATTTCTCTGCTCTTTCTCTCTGGGGCAGTAACATAAATAAAGCCTCATTGAGAGTCTACCAGCTACTTAAGCTGTCAAGGTCTTTACCAATTACTGTCACAAGGCGGTGTGTGCAACACAGAAATATGTTAGAGCTGCATAATAGCCAACAGATTCAGAGCCAGGCAAACACTGAGATGTTAAGGTATTCAGGATTTGAGGAAGAGCGTGGCATGCACAATCATTACAAGAAATCCATAAAGTAACCCTTTCAGAGAGGTGCTCAGACTGGGTGGTGATGACTGAGCTCAAAAGAAGACGTATCAAACATCAAGGAAGGAAGGATTATGGTCTCAAATCTGTGTGCTTCTTTAATTTAGAAGGAGACAGTGTCTGAAAGCCTTCAGGAAATTAAAAGGGAAAATCCAAACAAACACCAATTATAAACCCATCTCACTTTTCAATTTCCCCTTTTGCCCCGTCCGTGAGGCATGTGAGCAAAGGGCAGATGCTTTGTATCCGATGAGCACCATACAGAAAAGTTAGGCTGGTTTGATTTGTAACCAGAAAGGTAAAGATCAGTAGGGACCAAAAGATTCTCAGGAGGGAATACAATCAAATGTTCAACTTAGATGTTTAGATTTGCTTGAAAAAAAAATGTAAATGGTGATTACAAGGCAGGAGGAAAAAAAATGCATTTTGATTACCTTGAGATTCTCTAATGGAAAGTCAAACACATTCAAGTTAACCGTAAACACATTCAGATTTAGATGTCAAAGAGAATTATGGAAGAGAAGAAGCAGATGTTGTGGTCAACAACAAATAAGCAAAGGTGAGATGATTGCAAAGTCATAAACACCTCATTTTAATGCCTGTGGCTCATTGTTTACATGTCAACCAGCTGATCTTTCAGCCTCTCAGAAACACTCATGCTGCTTTAATTGCCTCTTAGTTACACTAAGGAAGATGGCTTTATTTTTGATGGATCTGGTTTCCGGCTTAAACATTTTGATAAAAGAATTTCCTTTAGATGTCAAAGTGTGTTTAGCTGTGGTAGCACTTTTATTTCTGCTAAAACAGTCACATTTAACCAAATAACATACACCTGAAAGCTGGGCTCCTAATGGCCTTTCAAATTTTGTATTTTAGCTTTTATTTTTTAACGTTTGGTTAATTTTTCTTCCCAGGTGTGGTTCCAGAACCGGAGAGCAAAGTGGAGAAAGCGAGAACGATTTGGTCAGATGCAGCAGGTCCGAACACATTTCTCAACTGCTTACGAGCTCCCTCTTCTAACGCGTCCTGAGAGCTACGCACAGGTACAGAAACACCCCCCAACCAAGGGCCTCAAACTATGATCCTCAAGGGCCAGATTTTGAGTTAGAGACCAAGGCCGTAACCTAAACTTTGAAATAAAAAAATCTGAATATATAATTATTTAGTTTTTCTTTTTTCTTCTTGCTGATTTTTTTATAGTACCAATGCAATAGTAGTCAGCAGCAGTAGTGTAAAGATAACTAAATTCCTTTAATTTAGTTAATCATTTACATTTAAAAATCTAAAACATGTAAAGTGGTCAAAGTTGAGTTGAATAATTTTCCAGTAAAAGTTTTTATCTTAAAAGTTATGAACTTTCATTCTAGCAGTGAAAATAGAAAACTGGTTTTCAGAGCTTGTTCATGTTCACACATTTTGTTCATTTTTTTTTTTTTAGTAAGCACATCCTGATTTCAAATACTATTTCAGTTACTTTCCACTAACAACAAACAGAACCTGCAACCCAAATGTGAAGTTTGTTTGAGTTGTAGATGATAAAACTGGCTCATTAAACTGAGAATGTGTCACCACTGTTCTGATGTCCAACGGCGTTTTGCTTTACACAATGGCATCTGCTTTCCATTGCACCTGTTGATGTATGGCTTGAATGCAGTTACCTGGTCATGGAACCCTATCTCCTGAAGCCTTCTGTTCTTGAACTAATCTGAAGTGATCGACTTTGCAGAAAGTTGGCAACCTCTTATCACTATGCGTTCAGTATCTGCTTACCCAGCTCAGTCAGTTTATGTGGCCTACCACTTTGTGGCTGAGTTGCTGTTATTCCCAAACACTTCAATTTTCTTATGATACAGCTGACAGATGACTGTGGAATATTTAGGAGAAAGGGCATTTTACGACTGCATTTGTCGCACAGGTGGCTTCTATCATAGTTTGATGCTGGAATTCACAGAGTTGCTGAGAACGAACCATTCTCTCATAAATGTTTGCAACAGCAGTCAGCATATGTAGAAGCTTGATCTTGTCCTTAACCAAGGAAGTGATTGAAACACCTGATCCCAATCATTTGGATAGATGAGCAAATACTTTAGACAATATAGTGTAGCTTGATATGATTATTAAAATGTGAGATTGATCTTTCATTTTGATTGATTACAAAGAGTAAAACACTTCAAATACATTAGTAGCCATTCAAAATTTCCCCTTTTCCTTGGCTGGTCCCCTAAGATTCATTTTTAAACATCAATCTTTGTACTAAAATATTCATTGTGTCATGATCTGTGGACTTTAAGATCTAAAGAGAAGTGTAATTTTCTGGTCAGACCGTGTAATTCAGTGAAAGGGGGGAGTCAGAATAAAGGAATATGCATGCCCAGGAGAAGAAGGGGGTTACTCCAGTGGCTGGAAGTTGGCTGCCATCTGGCTGGCATTTTCTGGGAAGGGCCAGAATGGCTACTACTGTATTTTGAAAAGTTTTAGAAGATCAATTAAAAAATATATATATTTTTAATAGGGAAACATTTGAATTTCTTTAAAATTGAAAGTGGAACATTAGAACTTTTGATCTAGCAGCAAGAAGTCCTTGGTATGATGACCATTTTTATACAAGTGGAGGTTGCTTTTTCTCCATGTTTATTCATGACCATGTACCTCACCTCTCGTCCAATGAGCACAGCCCCATGTGACCCTGCATGTATAATTTAGTTTGGACAATTGATGGATAAGGAAAACCACTGATCACAGACAAACTGCATATTCCTTTTTCAGGTGGGATGTTTCTGATAATCGTTGTGGCTTATTGCAAGGAATGTAATAGTTATACTTCATTTCACAGATGGGCTGATCTGCATGTAGTGGCTTCTGAAACCTTGACTCTAGACTAGGGGTGGGTATTGCCAAAGAAGTCACGATTCGATTCGAATCACGATTCACAGGCCACGATGCGATTCTATCACGATGCATCACGGTACTTGATTTATTGCGATGCATTGCAATATTTTCTCCTCCATGTTTTGTTTTTGGATGACTCTGCACAGTATCCCGCGGCCGGAAATGCTTGTGACACAAGGCAGCGTGCGTCAACACATTTGCAGCGACATCTACTGGACTGGAAGTTGTATTACACTTGTTTTTGGCTGATGTTTGCCAACCATTCATGCAATTTTATTTATTTATTTTTTTTAATTAATAATCGATACTTGGCGTCAAGAATCGATGCAGTATATCACGAAAATTAGAATCACGATGCATCATCATGACGATTATTTTGCACACCCCTACTCTAGACATCGTCTATGCCTAATGAATCTCCACAGAAGTCTTTGCTTCTAAATTGTCTCAGGGCTAAGGTTCTCCCTGTTGCAACTTTTTCTACATTCTTCCTTTTAGAACATTGTGGAGACATTGTTTGAAAGTATCTTTGCTTGCTAGGCAAAGGTTAGGTTTGCTTTTTTTTCTTATTATTATCAGGTCCATAATATAATATTGCTGTATCAAAAAAACAAAATAGTTTTTCGGGGTTGTGTAAATCAAACGATTGGAAAAACTGAGTTATTTTTTTAATAGCTTTAATATATATTTTAAATTTTGGCTTTCTGCAGAGAAGTGGACTACACAACCATTAAAGATATTTCATCCACGAAAGAACACCTCTTTGCCTACTTAAAGGAGTTTACTTCTTAATGTTTCAGATCCAGAACCCGTCCTGGATAGGCGCCAACAGTGCAGCATCTCCCGTCCCTGGCTGCGTCGTGCCCTGCGACACCGTCACCACCTGCATGACCCCCCACCCCCACTCTGCCAGCGGGGTCTCCGATTTCCTGGGTGTCCCGAGCCCCGGAGGACACGTTGGGCCTCACATGGGCAGCCTGTTTGGAGGATCTCCCGGCATGTCTGCAAGCATCAACTCATATGATCTCAACATGGATCCAGATCGCAAATCCTCCAGTATTGCAGCTTTGCGTATGAAAGCCAAAGAGCACAGTGCTGCCATTTCTTGGGCAACATGATGTGTCGATGCACACTGGAAAGCGGGATCTTATACAAACCCAGCAAAGAGTTTGGGGCAATTGACTTTAAACTCAGCGGGAAAATATGACTACCTTAATAAATGCTGCAACAAAGGTATTATGAGTTTAGGAGAAGGATATCAGACTGTACCTGTTTTTAATGCTTTAGCTGGAACAAAAATCACCACTGTGTGAAAGTTTGATAGAAAGAGATGTTGTGTAGTCCTAAAGAGAGACAAAAGAGGAGGATTTCCCATGCACTTATTTGCCCAAGTTCATTGATTGTTGTTTGTACATTGCTTTCAGTGTATGCTGTTTGTGGTTTGGTGCTGTTTTATATCTACTTTATTTAATTTCTCGTGGGTTTTTTTCTTTCATTTCTTTGTGGTTTTGCTTTTTCCTGTGCAAATAATTCAACAAGAAACTAAAACTCAGTATTAACATTTTTAAGCCAAATGTTTATTTTTTCTTTTGCAATATTTTAAGCAAGGGCACACCTTTTATCCTAGATACTGGGGATGTAATAGGAAAATTAAAAAAACAAAACATCTGGCACATCCATTGAGTTAAGATGCTCCTCACTTTCAGCACGACTGTTAAAGGAACTCTGAGGGAGAGTTTTGTTTTTTTTCTAAACTCAGGAGTGATTCAGCTCCCTCCAGTTGAAATGTGGTTAGATTGAGAATGATCCAGATGGGAGATCCACCTGATGCCATGCCTCGGCCTGCCAATGCCCACAGTGAGGAGGTTAAGGAGGAGGAGGTGTGGAGATGCACAGCAGGCCTGTTGCTCCCCGGTCCGGAGAGCCTGAGAGAGCAGGCTACAAAACAGACTCACCTTTGTTTTCAAAAAGGACAGTTTCTCTAGACCGAAATGTGCCCCTTGCTTTGCTGAAAAAAATGTGCCAACTTCTCAACCAGACTGCCAGGAAAAACACAGAAACAAGCTGTCGTCTCGTCAATGAAGGAAGACTGGCACAGAGAATGGAGTGTGTGTGTTGATGCTTTGAAGCCTTGAAAGGCTGTCATTGTTGAACAGCCTTTTTTTTGGATATTTAACAAGAATGTGTTTGGTTGTCAAAGAAGAGAAGTCATTAAAAAAACAGCTGCAGCAGTATGAAATGGAATTATTTGTTCTAGATGCTCCATTCAAAATCCCTGTTGGAAGTTTTTTTTTAATCAAAATGAGAGAATTGTAAAACAGCGTGTAAAGATGCGTGCAGCAGCCAGCTTTACCGTCAAATCTGTATAACAATGGTTTCGCGATTTCACACATTTTCTTGCAGAAATGCAACAGTGCTAAAAACTGCATCGCCGTGCAGCCCCATCAACAGTCAAAAGCACAGTAAGGCATCAGTAGCATTCCTTTCTCTTTCAAAATTATTCTATTAAATTTATAATTTTACCATATTTTGTATATTGTTCTACAAGGGTCTGCTTACCTTTATTTGTTTTCCAAACTGCTTTAAAAAACGTTTATTTTTGTAGGCAAAGGAAAAGAGAATGGACAGGTAAAAACAGCTTGATCCAATCAGATGTTTTATACAATTGTTATTTATCAAAAACAAAAATTTTTCCAGTTTCTCGAGAATCTAGTATCATTAAAGTTGTACATATTTCATGTGAATGAAAAGCTTGATTTTGGTTCAAAGTGAAGCAAATCTTTTCAAAGTCTCCAAAGTGAATCAGAAGCAATTGACCAGTTCAAGGAGCAGAGGATTTCCCTAAACTGCCCCTATTTAGTTTTTTGGTTGGTTGGTCAAAACAGTTACATGCAGGCCATAACCTTTACGCAGATCACATCTTAAATCACTACTATTATCTAAAACTGCAATCCAGATACAATGCATGTGTTTGGAGGAAGACAAAGTGTATTATTTCTGAGATTGGGCGCCTTAGGTTGTAGCTGAAGGGTTGGACGGAGGGCGAGTTTTGAGGGCGTCTTTGTGTTCCGTTCCGTTGTTCTGAGAAAAGGACAGTGCACACAGCTGCACTGAAGGGGGTAAATGCAAAATAAACATGCCGCACACATGCTTCTACCCTCAGCTGTCATGGCTCTGCTTTCAAACGATTGACCCCCTGTAACACACAACAGGCCGCGCCCCTTCATGGGCTTCCACCTCATCCACCAGTCCCAAAGCTGCAGCCCCCCATCAGCTGCAGGGTCCAGCCAGATCTGCCAGATCAGGGAGACTCTTTAATTAACACAGAGCCATGTGGAGGCTGCAGACCATAGTATTGGGTGTCAGGATGGACAGGACAGTCTGTCTCTGGTTTAATGAATGCTGCCCATCTGCACAAAGCATGGAAAAAACCCAGCACTGAGCTGCATGGTTTACAGAACACATACTCAGTGTAGCTTTCTGTAAAAATTAAGGCTTCTTCCTTTGTGCTGCATTCATTTTTCTATGAAAAACAGCATTTCCCAATTTTCTAAGTTTCTGATACTACTGAAATAGAGTAATCAGTATAAGAGTAATAACTATATGAAAAATATATGTGCTGGTGCTTTGTTGTACACGCACAATGGATTGATTTGTGTAAAAAGTCTTGGGGATTTTACGTTGATGTTTTGAGTCAGTTTATCAAGTGTTTGAATGTGCTTCCAAATACATTCAATACATACTTTTTTGGAACGTTTGGAGGTATATAATAGTATTTTTCTGCAAATGTTCTTTAAACGTTTATTTTTCACTTTTGTGGCTTTAAGCTGCCGTTTGAGTTAAAAAAAATCTACTCCTGCTTGTTTTGGTTGATTAAAGTACTATAACTTATTGTACCTTGGTTGAGAGTTCATTGTTGTGTACAGTACAACAGTAATTTTTTGCATCTTTGGAAGTTGATGGTTTACTTACACAGGCTTGGAAATTTAATGCTAGTAAATACCCCAGAAACTAATTATGGAAATGTAACGCAGCAAACTTGAAATCACTGATATTTTTGATTCACTTCAGTTTATTTACCGGTATATAGCGCCAATTCAAAACACATTTAATCTCAAGGCACTTTTCAGTTCACCAGATAACTGATTCAAATTTTTTTAACTAAGGAAAACCAGTCGATTGCATGGACTCGTTTACTCCATTGCAGTCCCTCACACCAAGCATGGTGTAGTGACAGTGGAGAGGAAACACTCCCCTTTAACAGGAAGGAACCTCCAGCTGAGCCAGGCTCAGTTTGAGCAGCTATCTGCCGACTGGGGTTCAAGGAGACAGAAGCAGTCTTAGAAGAAGAAGCAGAGATACAAAAGGCAACTGCCAACCAGCTCCACAGGCAGCCCTGTCCAGGAAACACACAGCCAGGCAGACGAGCTCCGGGCCAGCTCCGATGTCAGAGGATGAAAGAGAGCACTTCCAGCCAGTCACAGTCAGATAAACAGGACTACACTGAAAAACAGGCCAAGCTCCAACATCCATAAACAAAGGTGTTGATGGCAGCAGCACAGCAGACAACCCTGTACAGAATGGTGTCACAGCCAAACAGGAACAGAACAGATTAACCTACTATGAGAAAAAGCAGAGAGAGCATATCATTGGAGATTTTGCAGAGCTGGAAAATAGAGATAGAATGAAGCAAAATGATGAAAAAGGGTCCCTATGTCCTCCAGCAGTCTAAGCCTATAGCAGCATAGCTATAGAGATAGCTCAGGATAACCTGAGCCACTAACTATAAGCTTTATAAAAAGGGAAAGTTTTAAGCCTTGTCTCAAAAGTAGACAGGGTGTCTGCCTCATGGGCTAAAACTGGTAGTTGGTTCCACAAGAGAGGAGCCTGATAACTAAAATATCTTCCTTGTATTCCACATTTTTTAAATTCTAAAAGATTGAGCTTTGCTATTTAAGGCTTATTAAGTGAGGAGGAGGATTTTATAGTCACATTATTTTGTTTTTATTATTTTGAAAAAGTTTTTTTTGTTGTTCTACAACAGGAATGTCCGAAATTTGGTCCAAGGCACATTTTAACCCTTTGAATGATTTTGACCCACAGATAGGATGCTACAGTGGTGTAAAATTTGCTTACAAGCACATGTAGCACATGAATACTTTGTAAAAACAACAAAAAAATGTTGGTTTAATAAAAAGACAATTTTATTTATAAATTAAAGATTTACTTAGCTTTAATTATATAGACCATAGTCCTTTCACTCATTAAAATAAGCAAAATATGACAGTGTTTGTAAATAAAGAGACCTATATTCGATTCATCTAGCTGGCAATAGACAAAGACCCCCTTCACCATCAGCAGGTCTTTGAAAGGGCCATTTCCAGCTGTATGTCAGTTTTATTTGGTTTGCAAAGAGCACACTGGTCTGATACTATGAGTCTACTTTGTGATATATGTCTTTTTTTGGCTGTGAAAGGTGAGATTAATGGCAGTGAAAGGCCAGATTTGGACCTTGAGGTTAAACTCAAGCTCTATACATGTGATTGGAACATACGCCTTTGATACAGTGAGGGAATGTATAAAATATTCCATGTATGGCATATTCTGGTCCTTAAAAAAATCTTAATGAAAACTTCAAGTTTTTTTCAACATACTGTGGTTGTTGAGATTTATTACATTGTGAGTTTTGGTAAAAAA